TAGCACGGTTGACTTGTGAATATTAAATGTTTCCTAGACTGCGGTTAACACATTATGTGAAACTTAAGCATGACTGCAGTAGATGTGGTTGAATAATCAAGTGCCTTCTGGTGACCACACTTTTACGTAGTACATTTCTCGCGTAAGAAAATAGGACGTGAGAAATTATAAACTGCAGACTGGAATTAAAAAAGAAATGCACCCATTCAATCTCATCATATCGTCTCCTTCGTTGGACAACAGGCAGCTTTCCCGTGAAACGTAACCGTCAAAGTTTCAAAGTTTGATGGCCTTACATGAGGTACTTTTGGCTATTCATTGGACGACCGGATTGTTCTAACAGTGCTGTTTTGAGCAATTCCTTTGATAGCAAACCGTCAGAATCTCCCATACCATTCATTGTAGCCCAATACACCTCGAAATCCATGTACTATAATTCGAGGCATTCCTCTTCAACTGTTGGCCTGATTTTCTCAGTTCTCCCAGGCGTGGGTTAAGTATATATAATTGATAAAGTTTCTGAAGGCCCATAAAAGAATAGACTAAGTTTCTTTATCGAGTTAACTGAAAGTATGTGTAATAGGAATGATTCAACACCTGGACCAGACGAATATCTGGAAAATTCTACTACCTCTACGGCAGATAGGAGAGAAAACTATAAAACTCAAGTTTCGAAGCCGTGTGTTTATAATTAATATGATTATGAACAATAAATTTTGTTCGAAACGTCATCCAGCAAATAATACTGTTTCATCACTGTGTGATATATCCAATAAACAAACCAATAAGGAATAGCTTACTACTACAGTGCTCAGGTTTTACGCATATATTAATAGACTATGAATCTGGAAGTTAACGTGAAGCTTAAGTAAAGCTTATTCAGTGGACTTCAGGCCGACACCTTATAACACGCGCTGTCCACACTGGTTAAAACGTTATCAGCTTGAATATATCAGGACGTTAATGGACTGCGCGGGTGGAGATACTAGTACTCGAACATCTTAATTATACTGAGAATATAGATTGACTGGAAACAAGGCTTTGACATGAATTCGTCGATCCTAGATGACATACACAAATAAAGGTTGGGCGGTAATCTTCACCTGTGTCTTCTCAGGGAGCTGGCAGCTCTTCCACTCAACCGCCATCAACACGTTATCCCTCTCACATGGGGAGTTGCAGCATGACTAGTCGGATGCAGTAAGAGCTATTATCCGTAAATGAAGATCTATTCACGGTCCTGGGAACTATGAGCCTACTATTCTGGCTGGCACTCGAATAAAGAGGTCGAGAGAAACAGCAGAGAAAGCCAGAGGGACATAATTGAGAAACAACAGATTGTTACTCAACATACAGCAGTATGCTCGGAATCTTCTGGTGTTTGACAAACTTTTCACTTCATGGGACCTCCTAGTCAGGTCTGGACATAGGAAGAGCGAAACTTCACTTCCGTATATGTGGGCAAGCAAGTGCGTCAAACAACACTATCTATGAGACTGAAGGGTTTCCGAGCGATTGGTGACATTGTCAACTAGATCAAGGAATTCCTCATGGATAGAAGACAAGTAGTCAGGGTGAATTCTAGACTCACCTTGGAAAACGCTGCACAGTAGCGTATTTTATGGTGCACTTAGCGATGATCGTGAATTGCTGACTCAGCAAACGGATCTTGAAAACTCAAAGAATGAATGTTTCCTATTAACTTGGTGAAGTGCCCAAACTTTCACATCGAGCTCTCAAGTGCCAGAACATATGATATGGAGAGAACACGATCCCACACAGGTAAGATACACAAATCTGCGTGTCATAGTATATGATACCTAAAATTTGCAATAGACCATTACGAAGTGGCAGCACACAACATTGGATTCTCATGAGCGATACACATGGCCTGAGGTAGTACAAACAACGAAGTGTTCACCAATTCATATACACCTCAGTTGAGTTAGAAATTAGAAAACACCAAATCATTACCTAAAAGGCTCACACAGACTCTGGAAAGATTAAAGAAAGGTCAAACGCACGTATAAATTTATCATTTGGGAAACCGCATAAAAGTTTGAATCTCTCCTCGTTACAACATAGTAGGCAGAAACGAGATAATAATAATAATGTATTTCATAGATCGAACTATAAAGTTTAAGGTCCTGAGAAATCACCATGAATTTGATCTACTTTTTCCTTCTGTTTCCACCCTATCAAAACATCTCAGAAAACATAGCAACAAAATTCAGAAATCAAGGAATGTACTATTTTTCACGTCGAGTCATTAACTTTCCGACCAGGCTAACAATAGAAATGGTGTCTGAGACTTTAAAAGATTGCATCGAGATTAGGGTAGAGGAGCACTTATGCTTGTTAGAAAAGTAGTAGCATAGGTTTGAAGTTTCAATCCTCAACTGAAAAAGAAAAATTGACCATAGAAATCGATATTTGAATGGCACTTTTTCGATTACTCAATCAAGCCTTCAAGGTCGCGTTGCAGCGCTTTCACTCTGATGGCCCAAAGGCAAGAGTCACTGTCGTAGCTGTTGTAATCATCTGTGTGATTTAGAGTGACTTATTTCATACATTCTTCTACAAGAATAATATATTCCGACCGAGCCGACAGCCAACAAAATGACACTGAATTAAATAAAGTATAATTATATTCCAACAGTTGTGCGAACACGGGCAGTAATTTTTCTCGAAATATTACCATTGTGTGTAAACTATTGTAATATAATTATACTTTATTTGATCTATTCCACAATGCTCACACTTTTCACTGACATTGAATTACTTAGCAGAAGAATTTCGGGCGGAACAGGATCCATTTCATTTGCTCCTAAACTGCCTCGAAATATTTTATTTGGGTATTTCACACAATCACTGTTATGTAGTATTAACTTAAATAAGGGTAATATAGCGGTCGTGGTTATTTACACAAGTCCTGCCTGCCGAGTTGATAACTTCGTACTTGATCGCTTGAGAGCGTAAAGTATTAGGGAGGAATTGATATCAGCATGTATACCTGTTTCAATGGAGAACTTACACTGATATTTCTCGAATGTGCGCTTGTGAAACAATTGCATGCACCACACGATACAGCCCTGGACATGATCCCTCAACTCTGGACTCGGTGCTATGTAGGAGTATGACTGATTACCATCAGAGTGGCGCGAAACTACATTACCGGTTCATATAATTCACCTCAGTGACAAACAATTTAGTATTCATTGTGTGTAGTATACTCTTAATATAGAATGCATTTTCACGTTTGTTTAATGAAGTAAAGATATAATCCGTCTGTTGAACAAGCATCATTTTTATCCAGTTGCATTCTATGGTTCCTCACCGCCGAGAGATATCCTCTGAGATCAAGGGAAAGTCATTTAGACATATATGCTTAGTTTAAGCAAGCACCAACTATACTACTACTGTAATAACATGTCGCAGACATATTTACATTTATATGTATTAAAAGAGAACTCAGTAGAAATAGGATAATAGTCCGGTATTTATTCAGTAGTTTTTACTTATTTACGCATAGCACAAAATTATCCTAGAACTGTTAAGTCTTAATATTTTTACTTACGTTTTGTATTCCATTGAATTCTCTTTTGGTAGGGATGAATGCAATTATGTCTGCGGTAAATGATTACCCTACTACAAAATAACCACTTATGCCCAAATATCTTCCCCCTAATTTTAGCGAACTTCGTGTGATAGGAACTACCAACGACCTGGGACGCCCGACAGTAGAAAAACTTCCATCTCCCTCTCAAAGTGCTCTCATATGACCACGTTTCCACAGCCTCTACCTATTCACCGCCTTCATGCGGTGTGGTGGGTGTCACTCAGGGAAGTGAAAAAGGCTAATACGAATATCTGAAGGTACAACCGGACTGGTAAGCATGTAGGTCTCCCTAGGGGAGCTGGGGAACTCTTATTTTAAACCTATGTTGTACATTGGTTCCAGAATCCTAACGGGTCGAATCATGTGTGAACCAGTTTTGGTCACTGGGCATCATAGGGACGCTGCTCTACTCACTACCTTGTGGATCGGAATTCAACTCATAGTCTCCGACAGTGACCCCACTCACTTTGATTTGGGCGTCCGAACAGTATCTCAGCCCTTTTACAAACTATGAGGTTTTCTTGATACTTATAATGTACCAATTTTGTGTTCTAGTAATAATAATAATAATATTACGAAGCACTTTAGACTGGAAATGTTACGCAACGAAGGGAGCAGGGCTACACTCTGTTATACACATAAATTATAACACTGATTAATAAAGAACATTCCTATCAATAAATTCTCCAGGTTCCTCAGTCATTTCTTTATGTTAGTTAAAAAAAGTAGCAGTTGCATTTGATAACCAGAACGTTTTGTTTTTAGTATCTGATCATTTTCTATTAAACGGTACCTGACTTTTACACTAGGTCTGTATGTAAGCGGTCACCAACGAGTAAATTGTTACTGAAATATAATTTTAAATGTGTATACGATATGTACAGATGTAATACTGGGCTGACTTTAGTTACAACCTTTACGTATATATATATATATATATATATATATATATATATATATATATATAGAAAGTGAGTGAGTTTTATTTTCTGATTACAAAGTTCATGTAAATGTATGTCATAATCAACATATGCAAGGAAAAGTAAACCACAAGCCTGTATTTTCAGATATGTTTAGACAACCAAAGATACTTTGAGAAAATTGAATGTTTATTCGTAACAGTTTAAGGATACGAGTGTGAATGAATCAAACAGATTTTATTTGAAAAAAAAATAATAATAAAGGTTAAAGGAATATTTACGTACAAGTTAGAAAGTTACACTGAAGAGGCACGACTCGATGTAGTGTTTTTATGTGCCAGACCATGGAGAACATTTGCTACTGAAGTAGGTAAAGGTGGTATTCTAGTGCAGCAGCTATTTTCAAAAAGTCAGGAGCTTAAGCCCATTATCAGTACATCGTTTTTAAGAGGTTATAGATTCCCTGAACAGACCAGGAGCCAGCTAACTTGTACATAAAACGAATGTACTGCGTAATTCCTGAATAGACTTATCATCTCGTACAAATCTAGTTGTCATTTATCATCGTTAATACACGTTTATTACTAGAAGGGATGCTTAATAAGTTTACTATGGTTTGCCTCTCTGATTTAATGTAGACATATGTTATTTTCTGCTACTGGTATTCTACGAAAACATCAATCTAGTGGTATGTGAGACGTGAAAATTTTGTATTTTTTTAATGCACTTACACATATTTTTATTTGTTCTGTTATTCTGTAGTTAAATTTCCTCTCCTTACTAATAATGCTAAGTTTAGCAAACACACCATTGTTTATTTGGTTTTTTTTACTATTAACAATGAAGTCTTATCAAGTTAGTAAGGTGATTGGTTGTTACGTTTTTGTATTATTATTATTATTATTATTATTATTATTATTATATAGCTTAGACGCCTATATGCCTCCTTATTCTATTTTATTCCTTTGCGTACCGATTTGAATACAGCGCTTCAAGCTTCAGCTGTGACGTTTCAGTAGCGGTGATTTTATTTCTACGAGATGGGGTCGCTAGCCTTACGCCAAACCTTCCCTAATTACTGTATTTAGTACGAGGCAAGCAAGGTTTAGGAGTGCATTGATCGAGAGTCGAACCTCAGATGCTGTAAGGTGCGCTCAGGAACCATTCTACCACTGCACCACCGATGCCCATCACTTTATATAGTAAATGATTTTTACGGAATTTCAGAATTGCAACAGTTCAACTTGTCTCACTCCATGTAGTACACAAAAGTAGAGGAAAGACAAGTAATCAGAGGACTTTAAATGAGCAGACATGTACGAGAAGAACATGTGGATTTAATGGCTCTGAGAGGTCACAAAGAGTGAATGCATCTGCACCATTGACTGGATGGTTTTGAGCCATATCACCAATAGTCTTCAGACATTGGCTCTTAAAATCTCGAGCGCCTCAACAAGAAGGTCTTCACTTCCCTACGTGGTTGGCTCAAACCAACTGTCAAAGACTTAATGGAATGGTAGCAGGTTTTGGTTTGACCACCCCTAACTCTTTTCCAATCTAATCCTATGTCGACCGACATTGCACGTCGAGGAGGGTTAGTGGCTTGACAAGCCTTATACATATCCTAGCTATCTCAACCGATATAGCTTCACAACCTCATCGATTGACCTAGCCTCCTTATAAAACACTATGCCTATTATACCACTTGATACAGGAAACAAAGTACGAACATGTGTGATTAAGACAGCTAGTCTTTTTATATCTTTCACTTGTTTCACAGCCATAAATGAGGACAGAGCATATTGCTGAGCAGTAAACAAGTCCTTCTATCAATAGCCGATTATCAATTCGCTAATACATACTGTTTTTGTTCATTCAGATTATTCTAAGAAGTGTGGTGTAGGGATGTAGTAACTAGTTTACTGTTCGTTTCACTGTACAATTATTCTCTTTTATATTTTCAGTGACACAGATGTTTAGAATTCGCAAATAAATATGTTCTAAAGAGTCTGTATTGTAAATTGATTCAATATAATATTTCTAATTCACTGATCTTTAGACAACGCATTTAGAAGTCGTAATTGGTCTGAATCGTGTATTGTATTCGCGCAACACTTTTTCAACAATCTGACCACACACAGACTTGTCATAGGAATATATATATATATATATATATATATATATATGCGTCGGTGGCACAGCGGTTAGGACACTCGCCGCCCATGCACTTAGTCCGGGATTCGATCCCCGGTCACTGGACGCACTTCTTTTACCTCGCTAAGCCAGAAATAAAACTGGTAAAGAGGAAAGGTTGGGCATGAGGCTAGCAACCACATCCTGTGAAAATAAACAGTGCTGCAGAAACTTCAGGCCTCTAGCTTGAGTCCCCATTTTCCACTGGGAACGTGAAGGAATATATATATATATATATATATATATATTTGTATAATAGGGTTAGGAAGCGACTTGATATGATTGTGAGCAATAATTTGTGCTCGAAATGTCATCAGTAGATATTACTGTACAACACTGTGTGATTTATCAAAATAAAATCTTACTTATAATGGAGTTAAACTTAGCTCCAGTTAGGACATATTGAAGATCCACTTAACAATGGAGATCACTAGACCAAAGAATGGATGTAATAATACATCTGCCCTGGCAACAAAACGAAGGTTACCAAAAAACGCTTAGTGTGGTGTTTTCAAACACGTAAAGGTGGTTGGAACTTCCTAATTGTCAGCTAGGGGTTCCACAAACTTAAGGATACACCCCCAAACAAGTTTTTTGTAAAATAGATATAAAAGACGTGTAAATATCAATTTTATGTCCTGTGTGTATAATATGTTTCGCAACAAAGGAGCTAGGGCATGTGTTCTCACGATTAATGTGTTCTGGAGATTCCATTTGCTACTGAACCCATTTAGGAATATGCCATTATTTTCATATATATATATATATATATATATATATATATATATATATATATAACATCTTATTTATTGTTTTGTCTAAGTTCATAAAGGAAACTAATTGTCATAAATCTTTGCTTTCTTCATCGTAGTACTAATCAGTCCATCTCTTTACTCAATCTACCTGACGAGTTAATTCTGCGTATTCTCAAATATTTAAACCAAATTGATCTGATAAGAAGTGTTTCAAGGTAACTTTTTTTTATTATTGATTATCGTAATTTCTAATTCTTCTTCCTCTTATCATTATTTCAGAGTTAACAAAAGGCTCCATGTGTTAACTCGCAATTCATATTTCTGGAAACACTTAGATTTGTCTGGTTGTAAATTGCAACCAAAAGATTTACGCCTTTTATCTAGACAGAAGCTAATTGGACGACAGACATGTAGTGTTAAGATTGAATGTAAGCGCCTATTATTTTCTCTTTTTTTAAAAATGTCGACATTTTTTAAAAAGTTGACGCAGGATCTAAAAATATTGAATCGGGATTAGCATCAATCTTCAAGATTTGTGGTAGTCTAACTCATATTCTTATCAAGGGAGGATGTATTCAAAACTTTCAAAATTTCTTGAGAATATTCTCCGACCACTTAGAAAATCTTGAGTTAATTGAAACTTCTGCTAAAAATAAGTAAGTGATAGTGTATTGCATTTCGGTTGTAATTTTTCTTTCCCATTGTAAAATTTAGAACAACACATTTAAGCGAACAGTATTGTTTTCAATTAGATCTCATCAGGCTTAATTCTAATATGCCTACATAACTTTACAAATAAAAATTCAAATATAAACCAATCATGGTGTTTTGTGTGTAGGATAATAATATGGTGCAAATAACTTGTACGATTAGTCATAATAGTAATAATAATAATCATGGTTTTATCAATCAATAATAATGATGAGAAGTTACAATTTAATGGTGATTTATCAAGTGAGATTTTATTCCAGAGACTTTCCTGGAGTATACGAAAAACGTTTTACGCAGCATACCTATGTTTGTCATTCTCTGTTAGGCGAATGATCGGGACGCAAACGAAGGATAAGCTAGATAGTTTTGCCACATTTATGTGCATTTATCAATTCAACTACACCTGCGGCGACAGTTATGTTGGTCATACTACTCCCAGGCAACTTACCCAACGTGTTACTGAACATCTCCCACCGTGGTGTAGCAAAGGACAGGCAAAAACAATCCGTAGCTCACTTTTGTCGCATTTAGTTGATAGTGGTCATGTAGTAGAGAAAACGAGAGCATTCAAAGTAATTTATCGTATCCCACCGAATCTTTCCAATAGACTTCGTGTTCGTCTACTGCACACAGCTGAGGCGATAGGCATTTGAACTACTAAATCTAAACTATACATTCAAAAGAAGTTCGTACAGTCATTATCCCTCCCTTGTTGGCTTATTAAGACATAACCAACTGATGACTTCTACACCACCTCTTACTTATATTTCCAACCCCTGTCTTATCATACCTTAATCTTATCACATCTTCATTAAAACGTATTTTATTTACTCGCCTTATAATCTAGCATTACGTATTTGGTTGATTTGTTTTTCTTAGCCTTTATCGACTACTACGCCTCCCTGAACAGTTGTTTGTTTAATCATGCTGTTTTTTCATTATTCGTGTTATCACAGATTGCCTCACTTTTTCATCCCTATTATTGATAGAACTATTATTATCATCATTACTATTATAACGACTAATTGCACAACTTATATTCACCATCTTATTATCCTACACACAAAACACCATGGTTGGTTTGTATTTGAATTTTTATTTGTAAAGTTATGTAGATATGTTAGAGTTAAGCCTGATGAGATCTAATTGAAAACAATACTGATCGCTCAAAAGTGTTGTTCTAAATTCTTCTTTCATATAAAGTCTTTATAGTCATCATTGTTTTATTATGATTAATAACCCCTTGGGTTCCCAATGGGATATACGGTTTCAAAAGCACCTCTTTATTTGATCCTGTCCTCTGTATGCACCCTTTATCTGACTCTACAATTGCTTACACGCTCTTGTTACCTACTCACATGATCTCTTCCAGGACTCGGCACGTGATACCACTCAACGGTCTCCTTAGCATGCGTCCGATCCATGCGATTCGCTCCTGTAAAGTGTAAGCTGATGTTACATGACTGCACTACATCAACTCCTAGCTTAGAAATACCGACTGAAGTGGTCGGTGGGTGGAGTGTGTTGACCACTTCACTTATTTAGGCAGTTGCATTAGATAACCCCAGCAACTTGATCGCTGACAAAATCTCTGCACGGATGCTGAAGCCTCGTTCCCCATACACCAGCTTACGCCTTCTCTGGCTTAGTAGACGTTATATCCAGCTGGTTATCAACCACAGGATGTGTGAACTGCTCACCAGTTCCCTCCCTGCTCCTTGATGACTGTGAGCGAGATATATCTATTGAAAATAGAAGACATGAGAAGGCCGACTAGCTAGCTGTCTTTGATCGTGGGTATGTGTGTTATATCTCCTGTGTTGGGTGATGGTATAATAGTGTGAGCAAACACTGAAGCTACTTCTCGGTGGAGTGCCAGTTAAGGAGGCGAAATCAATCGACGCCTTGTGAAGGTGAATCGATTGAGATGTTCAAGACATGTGTTACGTGTGCCTAGCCTATCCATCGCGATCGATGGTCAGTGTTAGCTGACATAGGATGGATGAGATTGGAAAAGAGCTAGCGCTTGGTGGTCAAACGAATACATGGCTCCATCAGTCAGTGGAATCCATAACAGTTAGTTTGAGCTGGTCAGCCAGCCAGCCACGTTAGGAAGTGTGGACTTCCTAACTAACTGACTGGTTGACGTACTCGGGATGGTAAGAACCAACGGAGCCGGGAGACAATCGGTGATATGGCGGAAAGTCGTTCTCAGTGATGGCGCAGATGTATTCACTCTTTGTGATTTATAATATCTAATAAAACTATTGTTCTCCCATATTACTATTCATTTCCCCTCACATTTCTGTGTATTATCCCTGTTCTTCTGCTTTTTGTGCTAAATGGAGGAAGAGTGGCAACTTGAAGTGCTGTACTTCGCTCACAGTCATAATGGAGGACGGAGCGAACTGGTGAGCGGTTCACACATCCTGTGGTTGATAACCAGCTGGATATAACGTCTACTAAGCCAGAGAAGGCGTGAGCTGGTGTATGCGAAACGAGGCTTGTGTATTGGTAGAGAGATTTTGTCAGCGATTCAGTTGTTGGGGTTGTTTGATGAGACTTTGTAAATAAGTGAAGTGGTCAACACGCTCCACCCACCAACCACTTCACTCCTTATCTTTAAGCTAGGAGTTAATGTAATTCAGTCTTGTAGCGTCATCTTAAATCTGACAGAGTGTGCAAATCGTATGCCAAACATTCGAAAATTGATGCTGAAGGCGTTCAGAGGACTGCATTTATAAGCATTTTCATCTAGAATGACTATATTACCCATGTATTCTATGTTGACGAGATTATCCCCTAGCGAGTACTCAGTCCCTAATTCACTTTATTCAGTTATGTTTAGGTTCGTTAGTAAATCCATGATGAAATTAAACTGAAATGGCACCCTTGATGGACACCAATGGTTTTCATCACAGATGTCAGACGAAAACTCTCCATAGGCTATTACCTAGCTGACTCCATCACTTCGAGTAGAGTGATTGCTTTGATCAGTGCAATGTATTTTCACGACATTCCCTTCCTGGCCAAACATTGCCATTGTACCTCTTGACCGAGAGAATCGAATTGCGCTTTCAGGTCAAGAAATATGACGATTGTTGGATGCCGGTAAGTATGCCTATGTTCCAGAACCTGTCGAAAAGTGAAGATATGATCAATACGCCCTCTTCTTGGTCTAAAGCCTGCCTGGTTGTCTCATGCTTGTTCCTCTTAGTCTGAGCATTATAATTCAGCCCAGGGCTTTAGATACCATATTAGTCAAGCTAATCCCCCTGTGATTATCACAGGAAGAGTTGTCTCCCTTCTTGTATATCGGGATAATCAATGACTTACACCATCCGGACGGGAATTCCTCCGATTCCCAGACGCTGCTCAGTAACTTGATTAACGCATACAGTAAATTGTCTCCGCCATGCTTAAACACCTCTGCAGTCATTCCATCAGGTCCCGTTGATTTGCCTTGTCTCAGGTTAAAGGTAGGTACTTACGCTATCAGATCTCTTGACTATGTTATGGTGAGTATATTTTATCTGATCCGCTAGTGTGCAGTTGGCATTAAAAGTGCACATGTTGTTATGTTTGCATGTGAACAGTTTGTCTGTCTGTCTGTTTTCGACATAGAACTTTGCACAGATGTGCGGCAGTTCAAGTCGCCACACTTCATGTAGCACACAAAGCAAGAGAAGAAAGTAGAAGAAATGCATAATATAGACAGCAAACAGAGTTGTGTGACAAAGGAATAGTAACGACGAAGAACAATATAGTTTCATTGGAAATCCTAAGTCACAAGGAGTGGATGCATCTGTGCCATCACTGAGAACGATTTTGAGCCATATCACCAATTGTTTCCATCTATTGGTTTTTACCGTCCTGAGGACCCCAACCAGGAAGTCTGCATCTTCCTACGTGGCTTAAACTAACTGTTGCAGATTTCATTGACTGGTGCCATGTTTTGGTTTAACTACCACTGGTCCTTTTCCAACCTGACCGATGTTATGTCAGCTAACATTGCCCATTGTCGAAGAAGGCGATGACTAGGCATACGTAACACATGTCCTAACCATCTCAGTCGATGTAATTTCACAGCCTCGTCGATTGATTTCCTCTCCTTACTTAGTACTCGACGCCTAACCTCAATATTACTCACCTTATTATACCACTTAACACGGGAGATAGAACGCAGGCACTTATGATCGTAGACAGCTAATATTTTCATGTCTTGCACTCTCAATGGCCGGGTCTCACAGCCATAAAGGAGGACGGAGTGGACTGCTGAGCAGTACGCCCGCCCTTTAGTCGATAGCTGGATATCACGTCTACGCCAGAGACGGCTTAAACTGGCATATGCGACACTAGCCCTCTGTATCCGTGCTGTGTGAACAGTTTGAAGAAGAAGCAGATTGTGTACTGCATATTCACAGCTCTACCCTAGTGTGTCTACTTTTTTCATTTTGAACTCGTTTATTTATCTATTTTTATCTATTTCAGATTGTTCCATGATGAGTCTCTGCCCAGTGAATCACGATTTCCCCTGAAATCTCTTAACTGTACAAATAGCAGTTGGATACACGAGTGTCATTTACACGCATTCATTGGTGGAACTATATCAAAGCATTTAAAACACTTGAATGTCTCCAATTGTTATCGTTTATTTCATGGTCCACCAGTAGCCGCCAATTTCAATGTACGATTTAAAGAAATGTTGCACTTCTTAAAGCACACCTGTCCATATCTTGAAAAATTAAATCTATCCTCAGTGTTTGTGTCACAATTGCATGAACCACCTGTACCATCACTACTTGATATTGACAAAACTTTATTAGGCCTGCTACCTAACACCTTGCCTAGTCTATATTCATTAGATTTATCTCAGAATACAATGATCATTGCACACTTGTCATACTGCCTACAAAATCCCAGTCAATATTTCGATGATATCTTCAAATATTTTATTCTTTCATTTTTTGATAAAATGTATAAAGCGGAAATTTATTTATATCTCTACGGTTGGCCGTATAATTTAATCAGGAATCTATACACTGTATGCAATCATCTTGTACCGGAGAATAGTGTAGTACTCATCTATGTCAATAATTTATCTCATCATATAGAAGATAGTGATAAGTGTAAAATTATATCGCAGAATGTTTCGAACAGTTCATAGTAGTCTCTTGTGTGTATACTGACTGATTTATTTTATTATCATTATTATTAATGTTATATATAACTTTTTGAGATGCATCAAGATTACAATATTACGTATAAAAACTTTTATACACATTGAGTTCTATTTTTTTAAAAGCAAGTCAGCCAGTATGATTGATTGGAAGATTTTATCATGAACTGATATTCAGTTAGAAAACCATTGGAAAACCACCTGGGAGTACTGGACGCCTGTTTCGTCAGCCTAGTTTAGGACTCGTCATCAGTACGCACAATCAGTGCCATCTTGCCTTGTAACCGGAAGGTCTTGAGTTCGAACCCCGGTGGGTGCGTACTGCTGAAGAGTGCCAAGCACTAAGATGATGAAACAGCTGTCCAGTGCTCCCAGGTGGTTTTCCAATGGTTCTCTAACTGATGTCAGCTCATGATGAAATCCTCCAACCAATGAAAATTGTGAAATGAGTAATTCCATGCGGCGGTATACAATGGTGTCTGTGTGTGTGTGTGGTGGGTAAACAATTGTAAAACATTTGTTAGCCTCTCCAATAAGAAGATATAGACAATCTGGAATTCTGACCAAGTGTGATTAATCAGTGATACATATCCATTTTAAAGAAATTTATTAATCAGGATTTGCTTATGCATCAGCCAACATCACACCTTCATGTCTGTTCAGACTGTTAGTATCTAGAATTTTATGATTAGACGTATGTTTAAAATTATGGTGTTTAGGATTAGAGTTGAATTGAAATGTCCTGTCGAACTTACTGATTTGTCTTCGTTTTGCAGATTGAGCTGCTTTAATCGACTTGCTGGAGTTGTCAGGTGGCTTGACAGCTATGGATTTAGGATATACATTCTGTTGCAGCCAACGGAGATTGAAAATACTATGATTGTACCAATTACATAGTTTCTTTGTTAATTTAATTCGGTCGCAAAACAATTCATATGACAGAATAGTTCTAAAATTAATTTTTAATTTTGATTATAGCTTGATTCCACTCAGTATTTTTGGTACAGGTATGGAATTCTTAGCATGTGATATCGGTAGCCCAAATTTTGCAAGCCGACCATTGATATCAGGTGTGCGTCGGCAGGGGGTCGAACCCCGGACCATGTGCATGGTCGGTGAGAGTCCTAACCGCTGTGCCACCGACGCACTTCTCATTCGGCTCCCGATTATTTGAGAACTATTCTGTCAAATCTTGACCACAGCCTCTTAAAACCACGTCGCCAAATTCATATAGGAGCTTTCAACGTCAGGACCCGCCGCCAAATCGGAAGGCAGGCATCACCAGCAAGAACTCTGGCATCTCGAGCCATGGATGTATGTTGTGTTTCGGAGACACTCATACAAGACCCGAGTGTGGTCATTCACTTAACTTCACCCAGCCAACAAGGGGAATCTACAGAATTCACTTTAAGGGTGTCAGGAAACCGCTCAGCTAGTTCGCGAGGACTCGCAAGTGTAGCAGAGACAATTCTTGTGATAATCACAGGGGGATTAGCTCGATTAAAATGGTAGTTGTAGACTCAATCATAATGCGTAGACTAAGTGGTGCTAGGGAGGAACAAACACGAGAGAACCAGGCAGGCTTTACACCAGAAAGAGGGTGTATTGATCACACCTTCACCCTTCGACAGATTCTGGAATATAGGCATACTTATCGTCGGCATCCAACAATCGTCATATTTCTTGACCTGAAAGCGCAATTCGATTCTCTCGGTCAAGAGGCAAAATGGCAATATTTGGCCAGGAAGGGAATGTCGTGAAAATACATTGCACTCATCAAGGCACTCAATCTACTCGAAGTGATGCAGTCAGCTAGGTAATAGCCTAAGGAGAGTTTTCGTCTGACATTGTGATGACAACTAGTGGTGTCTATCAGGGATGTCCACTATCCTTAATTCTATTCAATTTCATCATAGATGTGCTAATGGACTTAACTCTAAGTGACTTCAGCGACTCAGGGATTGACTTGTTAGCAGGGTATAATTTCGTTGACACAGAATATGCAGATGATATAGTCCTAGGTGAGGACGCTGCATAATGCAGTCTTCTTAAAAGCATGAGATGCAATCTTCGAATGTTGGCACACCATTCGCACACTCTGTGAGGTGTAAGATGATGTTACAAGACTGAATTACATCAACTCCTAGCTTAGAAATACCGAGTGAAGTGGTCGGTGGGTGGAGCGTGTTGACCACTTCACTCATTTTGGAAGGTGCATCAAACAACCCCAACAACTGGATCGCTGACGAAATCTCTCCACGGATGCTGAAGCCTCGTTTCCCATAAACCAGCTCACGCCTTCTCTGGTGTAGTACATGTAATATCCGGGTAGCTATCAAACCAAGGACGAGTGTACCGCTTACCAGTTCGCTCCGTCCTCCTTCATGACGACTGTAAGTGAGATATATCTATTGAAAATAGAAGACATGAGAAGGCCGACTAGCTAGCTGTCTTTGATCGTGGGTATGTGTGTTCCATCTCCTGTGTTGGGTGATGATATAATAGTGTGAGCAAACATTGAAGCTACTTTTCGGTGGAGTGCTAGTTAAGGAGGCGAAATCAATCGACGCGTTGTGAAGGTGAATCGATTGAGATGGTCAAGACGTGTTACGTGTGCCTAGCCTATCCTTCGCGATCGTCGATCGATGGTCAATGTTAGCTGACATAGGATGGATGAGATTGGAAAAGAGCTAGCACATGATGGTCAAATGAAAACATGGCTCCATCAATCTATTCCTTTTGCCTTATTTCTCTGTTTGCTGTTTATATTTTGCATTTCTATTTACTAGCTTCTCTTGCTTTGTGTGCTAAATGGAGGGAGTGTGGACACTCGAACTACTGTACATCGGTTCAAAGTTCTATGTTGAAACCAGTCACTCAGACAGTTCATATGAATATGGGAGAATGATATTTGTGTCTTTTGTTTTACTCATGATTATGAAGAAATCTCCGTGTAACTGTTGTTACCTGAGATACAACGACACATGTATCATTTCATGTGTATTAAAGAAAACCGCAACTTGCTTAAACACACAACCAGCCTACTGAATGTTCATGTGTGAGAAATTTAGTTCACAAGAAGTGTGACTTGAAGGAACTGATGTCTTTCCAAAAAGATTTCAAAGTTGTGTCATCGTCACCCAGTGTTTCACTCAGAAATATATTATCACCAAGGGATTCAGGTTCCTTAGTAACTTTCTGATGAAGAATTACGAATAAGCGCAAAACTAACGTCCTATAGGCTTACACCACTACCACTAGACCCCAACCATCTAATAATAACTTTAGGTGTCCTGTAACGGCTAGCAGCACCTTTGAGTGATGACTACATTTCACACAGTTGATAGGATTCAGTAAACACCAGTTAAGAGACTGCACAGTTGTCTTATAAATAAAAAATGCTGCTTACACACTTAAGGATCAATAATCTGAATCCAAATTTAACTAATATCTTTTTTCATGTTTATACGGTGTAAATATAGTATTCATTAGGCCTTAACGTATAAAAGGCTGTAATATTGATGGCCTTGTTGTGCGTCGATGGTTCATTGGTAGACTGCTCGCTAACCCACCATGTGGACCGGTGTTCGATTCTCGACCGACTTACTCTTAAACTTCACTTAAGCCGTAGCAAGCCTGGTATAAAGAGTCAAAGTCGGGTATGAGGCTATCAACCCCACAAAATAATAACTATAATAATAGCTTTATTCCTAACAGTACTTTTTTTCGTACAAATAGGGAGTTTTTAGCATGTAGTACAGTATACTGCATCTAACTTTCTCATTACAGGGGTAATCATTAGAAAATGGCGTTTAGATTGATAATATTATTCAGTAAGAATATGAATATTAGATCAAATTAGGTGAAGCTAATAACAACAATATTACAATGAAAAAAGGTAGGGCCGTCTACTTAGACTTCCGCACCAAGTCGGTAATGTCCTGTCTTACATTTTTCTCATTGCATAAAATGTATGCCTGCCAAATATAAGGTATTGTAGAGTTTTTCTACTTAGTCGTCCAAACATACAGCCTTCTATAGTTGCTTCTAGTTCCCCTACCTGATGAGATGCAGCAAGGAGGGAGTTGTGCATAGAGAGGATACTCAGAGTCTGCAGAAACCTATGTATCTTCTGTCTACAACAGTATTTAAAACAAGCAATAAAGGTTAATAAAGCAGGATTTAATGAATTCATCAAATTTCGGTAGAACTCGTCAGCTGAATACTCTACATACACGGATATATACTTTTGAAATTACATTAGGAGATATAGGACTGATAAGTAAATAAACTACATTGAATTAGTCATACAGAAAGACAGGTGCGAATTTTTTTCCAGGTCATGTTCAAATAGATTAGGGGAGAGAGAGTATGAGAGATCAAAATTAAGATAAATTGCATTACGCTTCAATTACATCACTTAGATAAACAATTAGACATTAGAGAATTTAACAAAAATTGCAACCAGAGGGATGTCAATAGTAATAGTTATAATAACAATAATAATAGTGTTGAAGTGAGTTAAGATAATGCTACTGATAAAGGATAGTTTTAAATGAATCAAGAATAATAATAATGAGAATAATAATAGTAATAATAATGATAAGAGGTAGAATTATAAGTAGAACGTATTACCATGGTAGATTCAGAGTCACGACCATCTCTTTTTGTACACAGAGACCTGGTTTGTAAACTCGAATTGCACAAGCCTCTGCAATTGCAAGCATCTTCTTGTTTCTTTGTCTGCTGACAATGGTGAATGACTTGACAGTGTCGATATCATGCCCGTAATCCACAAGATGCTTTGTTATTGAGGATTTTGGCACTTTGAACTCAACCATTTTGGCAAATGCTCCATCATGCGAGTAGACAATCGCCTTTCCGTACGACCTATGTATTTGCTTCCACAAACACACTCAAATTGATATACGCAGTTTTAAGTGTCGAGGATTGGCGACTGGTCTTTCCCAGATTGTTGAAGCACTCGCCTAGTGGTGTTAAGAAAACAAGTTTTGCAGCATAATAAGTTCTCTTGATGGCTTTGTCGAGTCTTCGTTTGACTACTTCCTGTACATCATCTCCTTTGAACGGCAAGCTGATATAGACAGGTTTCTTCGGAACTGTTTGCATTGTTTTGCAGCGGGTGTTTTCTTTAGAGTATTTATTAATGAACTTCTCAGGATATCCATTCTTAGATAAGATATCATTCAGGGATTTTACTTCATACTCAACAGTACTGTCAGAACAAATTTTTCGTGCTCTATTGAACAGTGTTCTGACTAAGTTCTTTTTATACTGGATTGGAACAAAACTCTTGAAATGCATGTACTGTCCTGTCCATGAGGACTTTCTAAATATAGATCTTTCGATTGTGCCATCATTCATTTTCGCCAGAAAAACGTCTAGGAATTTAATAGTATCATTTTCCTCGTGTTCTACTGTGTAATTGAGATTTGGATGGCATGAGTTGAATTTTATCAGCGTGTCTTCGGCTTTTGATCTGCTTCCACAGGCAATAAAAATGTCATCAACATATCTTAGGTATAGATCCGTTTCTTGTATATGTTATCGCAGGGTACCGGTTTCTAGGCGTGACAAGAATAAGTCAGCGAAAAGTGGTCCCAAAGGGCTTCCCATTGCGACACCATCAACTTGACGGAATAAACGCCCGTCGAATTGGAATTGGACATTTTTAGTACATAAAAGTAGCAATTCCGACGTTGGAATGGGTATGTCTTCAGCTTCTTTACATATGAAGTCTATAGTCTCAATGACTGGCACATTTGTGAAGAGGGAGGTAACATCGAAAGAGACTAAATGTTTATCAGATACATTGAAATCTTTGATTTGCTCGACAAACTGGAATGAATCAGAAACTATATACTTCCCGAAGCGTTTCCGCAGGGGCTGCAACAGTTCACATAACCACTGTGCTAATTTGTGGTATGGTGAGTTTATCATCGAGAGTATGGGTCTTAATGGCACTCCTGGTTTGTGTATTTTAACACGCCCGTATAGTTTTGGGATTTGTGACCCAATCGGCTTGATGTTTCTATATGTGTTTATTTACTTATCAGTCCTATATCTCCTAATGTAATTTCAAAAGTATATATCCGTGTATGTAGAGTATTCAGCTGACGAGTTCTACTGAAATTTGATGAATTCATTAAATCCTGCTTTATTAACCTTTATTGCTTGTTTTAAATTCGTATCGGGAAATAAATGTTTACAACAGTATTGATGAGTTGGTTTAGTGACACCCCACCGACAGCTTTTAGTGCCCTTCATTGTATAAGAAAGCCTTTCTTAAGTGTAGCCAGGGAAAGATTAAGATGGGGCAGTAACGAAGAATAGACAGACTACATGAATTAACAAACTCAGAAAGCAGAGACTGAGTGAGTGATACTAGATTGGCTTAACTTCCTTACGTAGAATGTTATACGAATTATCCTTCTGGAAACTAACGTGATGTGGCAAGATCAGAAGTAATACACATCCCAAGGTAATTAACATTCGATTTAGTTCCAACCCCTGTATCATCTATGATAGTGGAACTGTGAGAACTAACCAGTTCATGTAAGTCATGCTTGTATCTGAAAGTGAAATTAACAGCCTGATATTTGGATGGGTTTAGCCTAAGACCATTTGACAAGGACCACTGACTAATATCTAATAAGTTATTCATTTCCGGACAGTCTGACTGAGAAGTAACAGTCAGATCCGCGCCATACTTAACATAATTGGCTTCGTCAGAATGAGGTAAGTCATGTAAGAAGAAAGGAAACAGAAAAGGAGAAAGAACAGCACTGGCTGAGGAACACCAGCTAGAATAAGTGAAGCAGTGAAAGACTTCCCATTATGAACAGTGTTCTACTTCCTACAAGTTACAAGAACACTGATTCCAGTGGTTGCAGAATAATGACGAGAAGCGAAAGCTGCTCACGTGCAAGCCGACTGACTGCAAGTCTCCGCAGTGATTATGTGAACGGTATTAGTTGACAAAAGCCAGGTGAGAAAGGCATCGGTAGGCTGTAGAAGGTTAATGGTGAATGAAATAATTTCCGAGGACAGCGATACACTTTAACAATCTTACAGGATAGATGATTGGAACATTGGAGGAAACACTTTGAAGAGCAATCAACAAAGCCTGTCGTTGAGTTAAATTCTGCCCTCCATTTCATGCCCATCTGTGTATAATTAAGAAAGGTTATCCAAATATAATTAAGGCTGCGGAAGCTGTTTAGTCTGAAATGAAGCAAAGCAGCAGCACCTGATGGGATGTAACTCCAGAGGTATTTACGGATAGTAATGGACTGTTGATGGTATCAATCTAAAATGTCGGTTAGTGTGTGAGAATGCGAGAGATTCCCGTTCAACTGTTGTTAATTATTGCTTATCCTAGTTTATAAGAGGGGAGACAAGCCTTCCGGTGACAATCATAGGAGGATTAGTTTGACTAAGATGATAGGTATCTGAAATTCTAGATACAATAAGCATCCATAAACGTAGCAGTATTCAGGAGAAACAAAACCATGAGAACCGGGCAGGCTTTACACCTGCACGAGGGTGTATTGATCATATTCCACCCTTCGACACATTTCGGAACATAGGGAATTCAATCGCATTTGTCATTCGACAGCACGTCCACTCATATTAAAGGTTTACTATTGTTTAGTTATCGAATACGACTACTGTGAATTTTGTTGATCCTCTACATAACTATTTCTTTGAACAGCCAAAAGTCACTAGACAACAGTTAATCCGTTTATTTGAACAATATATTTATATACCTCCTTGTTGCTTGATCAGGCAGTTGTGTCTGTCTGGTTAAAATGTATGTGTTGCACTAGCTAGCTCATGGTTGCAGAAACACAGTCTTTATTACAACAATCACATTGTTCACTGAAGGTCCGAAATAAGAAAAATTGCTGTACAGTATTTTCGAAGTGATTAAATGTCTTCTCCCTGTAGTAAAGAAAATGTAAACATGATATCCACTACCATACTTGGTCAGTGTTGTTTTAATTATTCAGTGAGCAGTTTAACTTAAAGTTGAATAACGCTCAGAAATAGTTAAAAAGAAACATGTAATTATATTTTATTGTTAAAATGGCACCGAAAATCCGGAACTTATTCAGGTGTCGGTTTTCAGGGATATGATTGACTGGTTACAGGATTCCACCATAAGCTGACATCGGCTAGAGAACCATTAGAAAACATGAGAAGTCCCAGTGGTTCTCTAACCGATGCCCACTCTTGATGAAACCCAGCAATCCGGAACTTAGATAGTTATAATTTGCTGGTTTCGTATATTCATTCTAAAAGACTGTAACAATAATTCACTTTGTAACATAACTACAACAGCACTCAGTATGAAAAACAAGATCCGGATTTTCAACTTTAATGTGAAGTCAGTGCTACTTACCATACGGATCAGAGATTTGGCGCGTCATAAAGTGCACCCCTAACAAACTACAGACCTTCGCTCAATACTTCTCAAGATCAGATGGCCAGAAAAGATCAGCACCAGGGGTCTCTGGCAATGAACGAACCAACAAATAAGCAGGAAGAATTGGAGATGGATTGGCCATACTCTGAGGAAACCATCAAGTGACATTACTAGACAAACCCTCTAGTGGAACCCGAAAGGTAAGCGGCGAGTTGATCGTCAGTGCGAGGGTGACATCAAGGAGTTCATGTGAAGAGGAGATGAATGCATGTGGGCAGACTTGGAATCAGGTGTAAACGTTCGCAGAGAACCGAATGCAATGGAGACGCGCGGCTGGAGCCCTATGTTCCTCTAGGAATTAAAGGAAATTATATATATATATATATATTGTCCAGTTCCAACTCATCAATCATAATTCGTCAATAAATACATACATCCAAAATTGTGTATACAATTATAGTTTTTATTATACAAATAATAATTAGAGAAGACAGTGGTAGCATTAAGGCAAAAACACTTGATTGAGCAGTAATCAACAAAGGCGGAAAAATGTGTGTGTGCGTGTGTGTATGAATCAATAGATTGGAGGAAGAGAGAGAGAGAAAATAAAGGAGTGAGAATGCATCAAATATGATGTATTTTATCAATAAGAACAATCACCATACAAAATATAGCCCATATAAATATGAATAGAATCCAAGCAATACTTTGAAAAGGTGATGCATGCATAGTAAACTTAGCTGTTAACCGATGATATGAATATTTGTCGATAATTGAAACTGTTTGTGGCAAGTTATTAGCAGCAGCAGCAGTAGTCAAGCATTCTGTTGAATTGTATACCTCATTACTTTCTGCAGTATTACTTGAAGTTGTCTGTATCATTGCGTCATCATCACCATTATTATTATCATTATTATTAACAGTTCTCAAATCACTACTACTATTATTTTGATGTTCCCCATCCATTTTCTTGGTTACACCATTTGATATGATAAAATTTGAAAATTCTCGGCGTGCTTTATACACTAATACAGCTGGTATAATATACTGTATGCCTGAGCCGAATATCGCTCCCGTGAAACCAGTTAAATAGCCGACATTATTAGTTATCAAGGCTATACACAATGGAGGCAAGGCGACAATAAACGGTAGAGTATACTTCAACGCCTTTTGTGCTTTATCACTATGAAATATAGGGAAAAAACTGCATAAACTGTATATATTGCCGAGTAGACTAGTTCCAATAATTGGATAGGATGAGGTGAGTGCGAATACAGGGAATAAGCATAAAAAGTAACCGAATATTAAGGCTATTGTATACGGAATATGTGAGATATCAATAAACGCCTTATCAGGTATAAAATTCAAGGTATATAAATCTTCAATATGATTAAAAGCAATTATAGCTGTACTCGACAGGAGTAGATTGAATAACAGAACTGTTATAAACACGGGAATAAATACTCTATACAATATTCTATACTTATTTCTTATCGGTGTTACAATACCCGGGATAGAATGATGACACATGAACACGTAAACACAAACACCGAATAAATTCGGTATGTTATGCGGTTGAAACATTGGCGGTTGAGGAATTGGTTCTGGTTGGCTAAACAATGTATAAATTGATGGATTCCAGAGGAGGATATTACTACTAGTAGTATTCAGATGAGGCAGTGAGGCGACTGAAATGCTTTTCCGCAATAGGATAGCTCTTTCAATGGATAGGCTTAACATTAGTAGGAAACCAAGCCAACGTAAGCAAACAGTGAGTAGTTGAAGCCATCGTGAACGAGTTACACTGAAGAATAGAAATGGTAGCACAAATGCTCCAAATACAACCTATAGATAAAAAAGAATAATATTGTAAAGTAAGTTAACAGAAGGTATAAACATCATAGTATAATTTACGCAGAAAATAATAGGGAAGATTTGTAGCTTAGATGGATGATTTTACATAGATGTAGTTGTGTTCTATGAGCTGGGTGATGGCTTAACTGGGAAGTATTCATTATCTTTCTAGACAACGTATTCAACGCAGACTTCATTAATGTGAAAGTGAACTTACTCGAATTCTCCATGATCCATATGCATCTATCCTTCCTGACGATCGATACTAATACAAGTTGACAACCAAGGTCGTCAGTCGTGTATTTTTTCATTCTCTTGCATTCTAAATGGTATATAGGGCTTCAAACGTTGAGACTTCAGTAGCCGTGTTGCTTTTCTAGCTTCACAGCCAACCTTGACACTTTCCCAGATATTACTATAGGCCAGTAAACTAGGAGTGCGTTGGCAGGGGGTCGGACCAGGACAACATGCGTGGATGGCGAGCATCCTACCAGTGAACCACTGGCCTCAGGAGAAACAATTATATCATTCAAAGAGAATTTAAATAACTTCACTTCATATTGAATGCGGTGGAGCGAAAGACAGTGAAACTTTCGCAATTTAATCACCCAGCTCTAGGAACACAACCACATAATAGCGGGCGTTTTAAAACTTGGGCTACCAAAACTTCTATTGTCATATTGCATATAATTTCTCTTGTTCACTTAGTTCGAATCGATCTTAATATGACCTCTAATGGTTATAGATTTACTCTTGCAAATATTTAGAATGTTTGCATCCTGCTGTTTCACAAGTTTCTACTGAACCTCAGGAAAAGCATAATGACGGGTGGTAACGTATCCGAATACATGAAAAAACTTGGGCACTGTGGTAATATGGAACTGTAGGTTGACCCTACTCGACAAAATAATATAATTTACAAAATACCTTGCAATGACTGTGAGTTGAGTCAACTACATGAATCAGTCAGACCAGAAGATCGGGGGTTGTGAGATTGACAGAACATAAGAATTTAGCTAAGGCTAGAATGATTGAACCCACGAGGAAAAGCTAGGCAATTGCACTGCATACATTAACACACAACCACACAATAGGCTGGTGGGAGAGGATTAAAATTCTAAAAAGTAATATAGGTAAGTGGTAGGAGGGATAGGTTGATTACTGAATCTTTCTTTGTTCATAGAATCTACACCCAACCCGTACAATAGGAATGACTGATCACTTATACCAGAAATATGGAAAATATTGCTACCAATCAAATCAAGAGATGAGAAGTAGTACAATCAATATAAACGAAGTAAGAAAGTTGTGTGGGTAACCTGATATGATATGCTCATGAGCAGTAATCAGTTGTGCTCAAGATGTGGTCTTCATCAGTAAATACTACTGTATAACAACACTGTGAAACTTTATCAAAATTGATTTTCTCCACAATGGAATTATACTCTACCACAGTGCACAAGTTCTGTTCTTATATCTAAATCAACTTCCATGGTTTGCATAAACCAAGAATCGACGATATTCAGTATTCTCTGCCAAAGAAGATGAATGGGACAAATCTTATTTAACTTTATTGTTAATGCAATGATGATGAGTGTGACTTTAACCAACTACGATGTTTCAAGGACTTGACTTTCTACAGAATGGAAAATTCTCTTTCCTTCAGAATACGCAAACTGATATAGACCTCCTAGTTGAAGACGATGTCTACAAAGTAGTACGGAGTCATCTGAACAAATCTGAGCAAAAAGTTGTGCAGGTAGGCTTTTGCATGTGATTCCTCCCTGTCAAATTTAAGATGATGCTATAGCACTGGTCTGCAGCATTGCCTAGTTTAACGATGAGGAGTGAAATAAATGACTGAATGTGGGTGTTGACCACTTAAATTATTTCGGAAGTTACAACGGCCATTAAAACGGAATAACTGACATATAACGATACCTCAGCGACTCCGAGACTAATGGTGGTGATAAGAACTTAAAGGAATTTGTAGCAGAGGATAGATACTCACTCCTCATACCCATCCCTACACAGTCAAAATCGTAGAAAGTACAACCTTGAAGCAGTGATTATTACTAGTATAGATTGATGGGAACTAAGATTTCGTAATTCAAATGACCTTCTCTCTGTCTGTTTTCAACATGGAACTTTTAACCGATGTACGGCAGTTCGAGTCACCACTCTCCTTCCATTTAGCTAGCACACAAAGCAAGAGAAGAAAGTAAAAAGAAATGCAAAACAGAGACAGTAAATAGCGATATGAAGCAAAAAGAATTGTGATATCGAAGAACAATATACTTTTATTCGGTACTATAAGTCACAAGGAGTGAATGCATATGCACCATCACTGAGAACGACTTTCAGCCATATCGCTAATTGTATCCATCCTTCATTGGTTTTTACCATCCCGAGGACACCAACCAGTCAGTTAGTTAGGTAGTCCACAACTTTCTACGTGGCTGGCTCACTGACTAGCTGAAACTAACTTTTATGGATTCCATTGACTGATGAAGCCATATTTTCGTTTGACCACCATGTGCTAGCTCTTTTACAACCTCATCCATCCTATGTCAGCTAATATTGACCGTCGATCGATGAAGGTGATGGATAGGCTAGCCACACGTAATACATATATTAACCATCTCAATCGATTCACCTTCACAACCTTGTCGATTGATTTCGCCTCCTTAATTAGCCCTCCACTGAAACCTAACTTCAATATTTGGTCACACTATTATACCATCTAACACGGGAGACAGAATTCAAACACCTATGATCAAAGACATCTAGCCTTCCCATGTCTCCTACTTTCAATAGATATATCTCGCTCACACTCGTCATGAAGGAGGACGGAGCGAACTGGTGAGCGGTACACACATCCTTTGGTCGATAACCAGTCGGATATCACGTCTACTAAGCCAGAGACAGCGTAAACTGGCTTATGCCAAACGAGCCTTCTGTACCCGTGTTGAGAATTCGTCAGCGATCAAGTTGGTGGGTTTGGCTGATGCAATTTCCCAAATAAGTGAAGTGGTCAACACACTCCACCACATTTAACTCCCTATTTTTTATGCCAGGAGTCAATGTAGTCCAGTCCTCTAGCATAATCATCTTACATTTGACAGAGTGAGCGAATTGCATGCCAACATTCGAAGATTTCAGCTCAGGTGTTTAGAAGACTCCTCTCTATTTTGTCAGCGTCTTCACCGAGAAGCAGGACTACATCATCTGCATATTCTAAGTCAGCGAGATTATACCCTGGTAATAAGTCAATCCCTAAGTCACTGAAGTCACTTAGGGTTAAGTCCATTAGTAGATCTATGATGAAAGTGAATAGAAACGGTGACCGTAAAGATTGATTAGTGTTTTGATTGACTAATATATGAGATTGTTATTATTGAAAATCGAAACAAGTGATTCAGCGAAGAGACTCTCTTTTTCAACGAATTTATTGTCAAGCTGCATAATCGTATCTATACATGGTTTTTTAAAAGAAATTATATCTGTGTGTTTATCATTTCACCTGCACGGGTGGATCTAGGTTATATCGGTCATTCGACTAGAGTTTTGTACAAGAGGGGGCAAGAACACCATCCAGCATGGTTACGAAGAGATGGAAGTGGAGCAATAAGAAGCGCGATCATTGAACACCTGGTCGATAATGACCACCCTATATCTCTACAGCCTACTCTGTTAAAGGCAATTATAAGGCAAAAAGTAATTTGCCCAAATCGCTACGTACCCGACTCACTTGTATTGCTGAAGCCTTGACTATCGAAACAAAATAGCCAAATCTCTGTGTACAGAAAAATGTTATTCAATGCCCCTTTCTCCCAACTTTCATAGTCTTAATCCCTCTATGTTAAAGTATGGTAATCCCCAATCATATTTTAGCTCTACTAATTTTTTCGTTTTGCTTATTTGATTTGTATAGTCTCCCTTTATTACTTCAATTGTTACTATTATTATTCTCACTTTGAACTGTCCCCGGTATTATTTCACTTGTCGTTATAAATCAGTTTTGTTTTACAACGTTTAATTCTGTGTTATCGAATTTCACACAGCGTTACGTAATTCACATGAACTGTGATCAAGATTTGACCGAATAGTTCCAAAATAATTGGGCACCGAATGAGAAGTAAACATTTGTAAAAATTATATTTGTAAAATCTCAGCGAAATTGAAATGAGTAATTCTAACGTTTCGTTCGGCAAAATGGTCCAAACTGACCCCTGTTTCGTGACTCACATGAGTGGACGAAGCTTTTAAAAACAGGAGATATCCTTTTTATACAAAAAACACCTCTTTCATGTTAATTTCGATTAATTTCCCTGAAGAAGTTCGAACGAGTTTGTCGAACGGAACGCTGGAATTACTAATTTCAATCTCGCTGAGATTCTACAAATATAATTTCTACAAATGTTACGTAACACTTTTATTTTTATTCTATTTGCCTATTAATCCTATAATTTCACACCCCTTCCAAGTTCTATACATCCCATGGATCATTCTGTATATGACATTAATTGTTTTGCTACTTGACATTTAACTATGATTATGATCACAAACATTTTAATTTTAATTGCACTTCATACTACTATTATTATTCTATGTATTCACACCGGATTCAATTCCCTGACCGGATAAAATTTCTTAAAAGCCATATGAACGAAATATTCCCATATTGAGTCATAAGAAAAAGGCACAAACAGCGAAGAAAATTAGCTTTTCGACGATTCATTTTCATGAGCTGTACAGTCGTAATTATAATTAACAAGGAAATCTTTAGACCAATCAGATACTGGTAAATTTTGTCCTTGGAAAATTGTATTACGTAATGTAAGGTGTAAGAAGGGATGGCTAATTGTAAGTTAGAAAGGAGACAGAAGTTGGCATGACGTAATAAGTGTGAGATAATGAATAATCAATAAGCTCGTGTAAAATGGACAGGAACTAGTGGAAAGCCTATAAAGTGTTTTTGTATAAAATAT